TTGATTTACCAACCCTCTGGCATTGTGTGTTACAACATCGTGGTATTTATGAATTTATTTGAACATAGATCTTGAAGTTTGTATCCCACGCGTAGGCATAATCGTAGAGATAAGCGTAGACATGGACGCAAACATGGACCTTCTTTTGATATTTTCTAACCAAAATGTTTTTTGATATTTTATTAAGTGTTTTTTACTTGTCAAATCCTCGAAATGATTTCAACACAGTATTCAAAAGAAATAATCGTAGTATTTTGCAAACAAGTCTGAAAAAGAAAAACACAATTCACAGGATATGAAGAGAAATACAAGTTTTATTGATATGCCTTTGAATAGGCGTGAGTACAAGATGCAATTCCTAAAAGGAAATAATTATAGAACATTTTAAAATTGTAAATGGCAATGAAAATGCTAATTGCTACTACTATTTTCCCAATATCCTTTTGATAGCTTCCAATGTTCTTCGCTTCTGAGTTGGATGATTTGGATCTAACTCTTTCTTCGTGGTCTGTGGTTACAGCTCTCATATCGCAGTCTTTTTGTTCTTTATTTCTTTTTGATAAGATCCCTAGTTTTTTCCTGGATCGCCCTTTCGGGTTTTCAATCTACTGGGATACGTTTTTGTTGTATATGTCCCTAATTTTTGCCTGGATCGCCCTTTCGGGTTTTCAATCCAACAAGACGCTTGTTTTTGCCTAAGTCGCCTGTTTAAGGATCGATCTTAGCGAGCTTTCTTATACATAGTATTTTTTGACTGCGTCGGTATTTGCAAGATGTAGTAGTTCTTCCCTATCCATTGTTGTGAGGATAAGACCACCACCGGAGAATGTTGTTTTCACCACAAATGGACTTTCGTAGTTGGGTGTCCATTTACCACATGAATTGAGACGAGGTAGCAAGATCTTTTTAGCACTATAACTCTCTCTTTTAATATGCGAGGACATACTTTCTTGTCGAAGGATTTCTTCATTCGTTTCTGATATAGTTGACCATGTTATACAACTGTCAAACGTTTCTCTTCGATGTGGTTGAGTTGATCAAGCCGTGCTTGAACCCATTCGGCTTCCTCGAGCTTTATTTCCATAAGCACTCAGTGTGATGGAATTTCTATTTCAAACAGGAGTACTTCATCCATTCCATATACCATAGAAAAAGGCGTTGCACCTGTTGATGTGCGTACAAAGGTACGATAGCCATGCAGAGCAAATGGAAGCATTTCGTACCAATCTTTGTATGTCTTTACCATTTTATGAATAATTTTCTTGATATTCTTGTTTGCAGCTTCAAAAGCCCTATTCATCTTAGGTCGATATGGTGAAGAATTATGATGCTCGATCTTGAAATCGTCGCATAATTATTTCATTTTTTTGTTGTTCAAATTAGACCCGTTATCAGTTATGATCATGTTAGGAACCCCATATATGCATGTGAGATTTTTATTGATGAATCGAATAACCACCTGGCTTGTCACATTTGCATATGATGCTGCTTCTACCCACTTGGTGAAGTAATCAATGGCGACTAGTATAAACCGGTGTCCGTTAGATGCTTTCGGTTCGATCATATCTATCATATCAATTCCCCACATTGAGAACGGCCAACGAGAGTTCATGACATTTAGAGGAGTAGATGGCACATTCATTTTGCCGACATAGATTTGGCATTTGTGACATGTTTTTGTGTAATGATAGCAATCTGCTTCCATTGTTAACTAGTAATACCCTGCCCGTAGGATTTTTCTTGCCATAGCATGCCAATTTGTATGGGTTCTGAAAGTGCCTTCGTGGATTTCCCTTATAAGCGCATCCGCTTCTTGTTTCTCCATACACCTGAGTAGCATCATATTGTAATTTCTTTTGTATAATACATTACCACTCAAAGAATTTTGAGGCTAGCCTTCACAGAGTTTGTTTGTCAATGATAGAGGGATTTTTTTGGATATTCTTGCTTTTCAAGATACCTCTTGATGTCATAGAACCAGGGCTTATCATCCGGTCCTTCTTCAATAGTGAGGTAGTGTGCAGGCTCTTCAAAATGTATGATAGTAATGCGCGGCTCATGGGTGGGCCATGTTTCTTTAAACATAGCTGACAAGGTTGCTAGAGCATTTGCCATTTGATTTTCTTCTTGTGGGATGTGGTTAAAATTGACCTCAATGAATTCCATAGTTAGCTTCAAGACAATATACCGATATGGAATCGAGTTGGAGTGTTTGGTGTCCCATTCACCGTTGACTTGGTATATGACTAACACAGATTCTCAAAATACTTCAAGATATTTGATTCTCAGATCAACGGCAGCTTCCAAACCTAGGATGCAAGCTTCATGTTCGGAAATATTGTTGGTGCAATCGAAACATAACCTTGTAGTATAAGGTTTGTGATAGCTCTTTGGAGAAGTCAAGACTGCCCCGATACCATGCCCCAGTGCGTTTGAAGCTCCGTCAAACATGGGTGTCCAACGTGCCCCTGGTTCAGGTCCTTCATCTGGCCCTGGTATTTCGTAGTCATCTATAACCATAACATCTTCGTCTGGAATGTCGAACTTCATGGGTTGTGCCACACCCTATTTTTTTACCCCTAATCTGCTTATTCATAACATCGCATGCATTTACATAATAAATCTTTTATTCATTTGAGATCTTAAAGCATGGGATCAAAAGGCTCTTGGCATTAGGGTTTTTTTTCTATGGATTGAGGTTGTTACCTTTCTCATGTTGATTCAACTGATTCTCTAATCACTATTGGTATAAAACCAGGGTTTGGATCTACAAGCATCATGGATATTTTCCTTAGCAAGATTCCTCAAGATGCAAAGTTTTCTTGATTAGAATTTTCTTCGAAGAACAAGTTCATTAAGGTTTAACTTATGTGCTTAAGATGTCATCATGACTTCATTAAGGGTGTTCTTAAGTTAGAATTTTATTGCTCTCACCATCTTAAGATTTCTTCATCAATATGCATTCAAGATCGAGAGAATAAGGGTTTCTACTATTTTGTGCCTAAGTATTGGTTTTGGTTATCCAACCATGTTTTATTAAGCTAGGTTTCTGCCTCCATGCTACCAGGATTACCAGTCTTTCCTCATTTGGTATAGTTCTTTATCATCTTAAGGATTCTCCTATTTTGTGTTTAAGCTTGTGAATATTCATCAATAGAAGATCATGGTTGCGGTTGCATGTTAAGGCCATCTTTTTCTATGCTTCAAGTCTTGTCTTCATCTCCAATTCTTCAAATCATTCCTTTTATGGACTTGAAGAATTAATTTCTAAAAGAGTGAACATGATTTGAGGAATTCATTGTGTTCAAGACATCTCAAATGGATTGGATTTGTTTGAAGTTTTACAAATTGGAAGGTTCATGTATTTGGATTACTTGGAACCTAAGGTGGAATTTAAGGTGTGCCACAAATTCAAACATTTTTTATCCTTTCAAGTTCAAGCTTTAACATTCATTTCAAGATCCAGATCATATGGATAACTTTGAGGCATGTGTCATGATTGATTCAAGATTGCGAGTTCAAAATTCAGGAATTATTTCATTCCAAATTCAATCTCAAAAAAAAGGTCCAACTATTCATGATATTTCAAGTCTTTTTATTCAAGTTCATACAAATATAGTTCAAGCTCCAAACTTCCTTCAAGGATGCAAGGCAAAGTTATCCAAAGTTCAACATCATTCAATTTTTCAAGATATTATTCAAATTTCAATTCCAATTCAAGAACATTCAAAGTATACATTAAAATTAAAGTTCAAAGTTTCAAGTAATCATTGTTTCATTCAAATTCATCACCATCCAAAATCCAACAATCAAAAGTTCATACAAGATTCATTACGAGTTATCATGTTATGCTACAAACAAGAAATTACAAGGGATTTTTGCTCTCAATCCTAAAATTAAAAGTTTCAAATGCTAAATTTTCAAACCAATTTTCATTCTCCATAATGAATCCGTGACAAGAATTCTTCCAACAAGGCAAAACAATCAGCATTAAATCCACGGGCTGCAAAGCTAAAACAGCAAAAAAATCAAAAAAAGAATTAAACCAGAAATAAGGAAAGTAGAATGAGTTTTCGTAACAGAATTTTTCTTGCATTAGTTCAGGAAAATAAAAATCAGAAATAACTCAGTAGATCAAGAGCAAACTTTCAAAGCAATTTTCAAGATCACAAATTTAGATTCATTTCACCCGTTCATTCATATAGCATAATTTTAAAATTAAAGGCTAATATTACTTTACCTGTAGCAAACTTCTCAGACAAGCCAAGCCAACAACTATAAATCAAGGCTTCATTCACAAATCTGAGACGGAGGGAGTTCTGCAAAAACTTCTTCAGAGAAGCTTCAGAGTTCTCTCTGAAATTCTCTGAGGCTTCAACAATTCATTTCACCAAAATCTGAGAATTGGAAACTTCATCCTTCCTCTACAAACTTTCTGCAAACTTCAAAAGAGGATTCTCAGAAATCTCTCTGCAACAATTATTTTGCAAAATCTCTGAACCGAGTTGTCATCTTCACTTCTCAACTCCTTCAACTTCTGAACCGTGCTTTAACAACACCTTGCATCACTGCGTCATCTCCATTCTTCGCTGCAGCAACAATACTATCAATACTCATTCAACACATTAATTGCAACAATTCACACAAAAAACGCATCACAACAAAAGAGATTCAGATACACAAAAAAATAGAACGAGTAATCTAAAGAGATGAAGAAGAATTAAAGGAAAAATTCATTCACCTCTGGTTTTCTTGTTTTCTCAAATCAAAGGTGCGCTGAATGATTCTCCGGTTGGTAAGACTTGCATCCTATTTTGTTCATCGTTTTGCATGTTTATGTTTGCTGGCGTTGAATCTGTTTTGTTACAAAGCTGAAACACAACCGTAAATGATACTGAGAGCCAAGAAGCGAAATCAAAGCTGATACGAATATATTGATGGAGTTGAAAGAGCCAGAAGAATCACGAGCGAAAAGTGAACGAAGACGCGATGCTGATGATTCATCGGAGAATGTTGAGTTCGTCAGAGTCACGGTGATCTTGGAGTGAATGAAACACACGAAATCGAATCAGAGATGATATTGAGCCGCGAATGAGTTTGAGCGAAGAATAAGAAATGAGACAGAGACTTGAGCAAACGGGAAGGAGTCGATGGAGCCACGACTGTGTTGAGTTGGAGAAGAAGGTTGAATTTCTGTGATGCTGCATTGTTGCGTCGAAGAAGAAGAAGTTGTAGCGGCTGAAGAGGTGAGCCGAATGCAAGTCACGGTTGAGAGAGAGGAGATAGCTTCTTCTGTGTTTAGAACCCTAATTCCTTTTCACTAAAATGATGCGTTGCTCTTTTTTTATTTTTTCCACTTAATTGTTTTTTTTAAAGGATGAAATAGTATAAGTAAATATAAAATCTAGATGGTTGGATCTGAACATGAGTTCAATGGGCCTTGGGGACTTGTTTGAAACATTGTAAGCCCAACACTATTTTTTTGGGAGCCTGATGAGTTTTGTAACAAAAACTACTTACTGGACCTTTGTTCTGATGAGCCATTCGCTACAATATACCCTTCTGAAACCCATCATTTTTTTACCATATGGAAGTTGAATAAAAAACTTCTTTGGGCCTCACCCTGACCCTAGGCCCTGCGTTTCTTCTTTTCAGCACACTTGAGTCAGAATTTCACACCTCCTTATATTTCTTCATTCTTTTAATATTTCCCTTTCATTTTTAATTTTTTTAGTTTTAATTTTATTAAGGTATAAAAAATAATAATAAATAAAAGATATAAAAATGATTTAGGCTTTTTAGAAGTATTTTAGGATTTAATTATATTTTATTTCTATTATTTCTTCATGTTCTTAATTTCTTTTTTTAAATCAACTTTAAACATCATGTTTTATGTATTTTCTTTGTGTAATATGGATCAAATAAGAAGCTTGAGTAGTGAGGATTGTCTTGCATTGAAATGTCATGCTCCTTCAGGATTCCATGACACGATTAATCTCCCTTTTGATCATTTTATGTTGATTAGACCTTAAGATGTTGATACAAGCATGATAACATTGGGATAGCTTTCCCTTTACCTCAACCTTTAAACCATTTGAGATATTCTCCAAACCAAATACTCTAACTCATTCAAATCATCTTGTGTTATTTGTGCAGTTTTCTCTTTAAAAATCATTTCCCAAAAGACTAGACTCTTGTCGACCCTTATAATGATGCAAGGTAATATACTTCTACAATATGTAGTGAAGCGATTGAAATTTTCAACTTAGGTGTTGAGTGATTTCTTTTTGATTTTAATCCAAGATCCTCCATTTTGAGATGACGCAAATGCTCAATCCTCATAATTGTGGGTAGTAAGTACGTTTTCCACTCGAATACGATAACATGTCTTTCATTAAAAAAAATCAACAAATAAAACCCTTTTTTAAGAAAGAACTACGAGTGTTCTGATTCTGTCTGGGATACATAGGCACTGGGTTAAAAATTTGGGCAAACACAATAATAAAAAAATTTCTTTTTCCCAATTAACTTATTCATGCATTTTTAGCAAATAACTCTATTTTAATAGCCAAAATACACAAATTTTCAAAGAGGTTCCTGCGGAGTACTGTAGTGTTTAGGGTGCTAATACCTTCCCTTTGCATAACCAACCCCCAAACTTAGAATCTCTCCCCCTCTTTTTGGGTTATTCTCTCTTTTTCCATTCCTCTGGAAACAATAAAGTGCGGTGGAGATTTTTATTTGATCTGTACGAGTCAAGTCAATACAATGGCTTAGTCTCAACATTTCTACCACTACAGAAAATGATGACTTCACTGGGGAAAGATCGACCAATTGCTGGTCCATCCCTAAGTGGGGTGAACTTATCTTTGTTTATTAGTATATGTGTTGTTATTGTTTGTATATTATGTGTTGTATATATGTTTGTCCGGATTTTCCTTGTTTTCAGGGTGCTTGGTGATTTCTCATAAGTCCTCTACCCGGACATGGGAAAACTTAAGATATGACGGACGATATAGTCATGTTAAATTTGAGGGAGTAATCCCAAAAAAGGAGGCATGAGATCCCCCACTCAGTGGAGGCCCCTTTGACTTTAGTATCATTTACTGAGTAATCGAGAAGACATGCTGCTTTCAACTTGGGAGCCTGCTGAAACTGAGGACCGTAAAACCCTTAACCAATCTTGGCCTTTTAGGAGTAGTGCGAAAATTACGACGGAGTAATCTGGAAGTGGTTGTCATGCGATACTACACTCAGACGAGTTTTTCCTGAGAATATTACTGATTATCGAGTTAATCGGGACGTTGGTAATATCCGAAGGAAGGATGTAGACTCTGGGAACCTATTAGAACCATGTTCAGCAGGTGATAAATTATTAGTCCATACCTTGTGGGTTGGTTATTACTTTGGCTCCATGCTCGTGACGCTGAACTTTTGAACATGTTTTGTTCTACTCGTTCAGAGGATTGTACAACAATTATCCAAATTATATGATGACCTTTGATCCCATTCCTTTTATCCTATGTTTATGCATTGCATGTCATCACATCATTACCTGGAGTTTATCAAGACATGTATGTCTTGTATCGCCATAATATCTCAATCTTTGAGTCTTGTGTTGAACTTATCCTCTTGAGGTAGACGCTGATAGAAGAAGCGCCATTGGTTACTAGTTCATAATACCTACGCTGAAGTCTCTTCTTGATTTGGTTTCCGGGCCACTCCAGACAGTATAGAGGTCTTCAAACAAAAGTATGGGATGATTCTGGATATTCTCCACACTCCTATTACACCTTTTGAAAGGAGGGTTATTCATACTCTCTTTCAGTTTTATGATCTCTCTCTGAGATGCTTCACTTTTCCAGATTATCAGCTTGCTTCCGCTTTGGAGGAATATTCTTATATTTTGGGGATTCCCATATAAAATCAGGTTTTTTTAACACTTTGATGGAGGTTTCTGGATTCCCCTAGATTGCAGAGGCTCTTTATTTGAGTGAAACTATTGTGGAAGACAACCTTAAGGTTAAAAGATGAATTTCGGGGTTTCATCTAAAATTTCTAGTTGAGAAGGGTGATGCCTTTGCTCATTCAGCTAGTTGGAATAAATTCAACATAATCCTGGCCCTTTCCATTTATGGGATTGTGCTCTTCCCAAATGTTGAGGATTTTGTGCCTCCCTGGTTGGTGATATTTATCATTCAGTACCTGTGAGAAATAACATAAAAGGAGGACTTGTTTTTTGTTGTGCTTCCCTTCTTTATCTGTGGGTCATGAGTCATCTTCCCTAAACAGGAGCTTTTGTGGATGATAAGGATTCTCTAAAGTGGTCTAAAAGACTGATGGGTCTTTCTCCCCATGATATTGTTTGGTGCCCCAGATATTATGATTATGATGAGTTTACCTGTGAAAGGAATGAGCTAAGGCATGCAGAAGACAATGTTTAGACGGAAAGTCGATAGAGAGTAAGAACCCGAAATGGCTCGAGAGTAGTTTACCTCATTGTTAATGATGAAAAGGAAGAATGTCTCCAAAAAGAGAAGGCTGATCACCAACTCAATAGGGGGAAACTTCAAGGTGAACAAAAGCTCTAACAAAGATTGTATAACTCAAAGAGAAATCACAAGCTGTAGCTAGTGGACTCAGAGTTGAAACTCACCGGGAGGAGTTTAACTACAAGAAACTTCAAGATTAAAATGACCATTTGGAGAACCATTGTCGCTACTTAAAAGTTATTTACCAGTAGGAGGAATATGCTTATCTAATATTTGATTCAGAGGTTAAAGCATGTTGCAACATAGAAGCTTTTCAAAGAGGCTTAGGAATGGAGCAAGAAACACCTTGGTTGGGGAGGTCTTGCTAATAAGGAAATTGAAGATGTTCCTAAAGGGATGTGCATCTGTTGATCTGTGATTTCCATCATTTATTTTGATGGGATCCAATTTCTTTGATTTTTTTACGTATGGATTTTGATTACACTGAACCCTTGATATTATCTCTCTGATTCACATTTTCTTTTGGCTAGTGTTCTATTCCTCTTGTATTTACTTGCTTATTCAAAGTCGGTAGATTTTTTTGGAAGTGATTAAACATAGCGTTGGTGTGATACGGTGGGAGAACTGACTTGAGGTTTTGCGTTTGTGTTCGCAAATGTCGCGGTTAGCAAGAGTCGCCACCGACTTTTCTTTTATCCAAAAGAAAAGGTAAAAAAGCACAGGAAAGACCTTTGAGATGTTTTCTTGATTTCAGGGGGTAGATTATGAAAAGGGAAGGTATTAGCACCCTTTTCATCCATGGTTTTCCATAGGCTCTTAGTTACTTGTTTAGATCACTTGCTTTGTTTTGTTTGAAATGGTGTTTGGTGTGATTTTGAAAGTATTTTGTAAAAGAGGCCATTCGTTTAGGCAATCTTTGTAATGATTCTCGTTCGTAAGAATGTATACAAAAATGTTTGTCTTTTGAAAATGTTTTCAATGTTTTTGCAAGATGTTTTGAAATGTTTTGTGTGTGTTTGTTTTTGAAAATAGCAAGGATTGTTTGAAATGGAGCAAGTAACTTAGAAGCTATCTACCTACTCAAATGTCTTTCTTGTGTATTTTTATTCCTTTGACATTGTTGACTTACCATTGATTTGGTAAGCAACCATATCTTTAGATGTAAACGGGACGGGCGTGGGTCATCGTATAACCATGATAGCAATGTTGCCAAGTATCTTAGCAATTTTGAGGGACCAAGATCATTTTGTTTAGGCAACTTTGAATAGCATTATCGAGGCACTATGATCTTATTTTTGTTTTGTTTTGCCAAGATACTTCGCATACGTAACATGGCCATTTTATTTTAGGCAACCAAGTGGGAGAAACCCTAAGGGTGCTTGTGTGCAAAGTGTGTCATTTTTCATGCTTTTGTCTTGCATTTATGGTTTTCTATTTTGCTTTGTTTTTGTTCTTGTCATGCAAACCCTAATTTACTAATCATGGTATAAAGCGATAAATTGCGTAAAATAAACTAAGCTATTACAACAATTTTATGGGAGGGGGATACAAGTTTGAATAGGGATTTGCATAAATATAAGGCTAAATATATTATTACAACCAAATCGAATATGCGCGAATTTAAATAAATATAAGACAAATAATTAAAATGCAATGCAATATGTTTATGTTTAAAAAAATGTTTTTATGTCTTGTTTTTGTATAAAAGGATATTT